GAAGCGAAAGCCTTGAGAGAACGATGAGTGGATTCAAAATGATTTCCTTCTTGGCCAAGAGTTGCGGTGGTCAAATTGTGCAAAACGACTTAGTTAGTTCTTTGGGAACTTACTTATTTTTCACAAAGCTGACGTTTCGCTACCAGGAAAAGCATGCCCAACGCCCGAAACTACCAGGCGACGTAGCAAGCCATGCGCCTTTCAGCAAGGATGCTATGGTCTGTGGGTCGTGTTCTGTAAGCGGAGGAAAAGTGGACAAAGAAGCGCGTTGTGATTTGGGTGTGTTCCTCATCAAGTTCAATGTGAGAACCAGCTGGAGACCTAAATGTTACATTCTCCCAGCCACCTCATGTTGCTTTTGGTATCGCCGTGCTTGGGGCGTGTACGGAAAGAACGATGTGAAGGAGAGCGATGCCGATTGCGAAAGAGCAATGTACCGCCTGTTGCCAGTTGCAATAAATAGTGTTTGTTACGCCTGAAGGTTTGAAACAACAAAGTGTTCCTCCTTTCTCTCCTCTACCGTTCCGGCACCCCAGAGCCCATGCATTGATGTCAGATGACCCTCTGTCCAAGTGGGAATCTGGATCCCCAAACTTTGCGAAAGTGCACTTGGGGATATGATACAGCTGAATTGTACTGCAGATTTGCAGTTGAACTGCGACGTCGCAGAGGACTGCTGATAATCAAGTTGAATTGCAGACATTGCGGTTGGAAAATGGCCACTCGTTTCGAACGCTCTTGAGTTCTGGAATGGAGCTAGAGCTTATTTCTCAGAGATGAGGATTCAATGTATGTAGAAAGTGAGTGGCGAACTCGATCCTGGCTTCACAAACGATTTGGGCAAGCACAAATTAGGTTCGAGGTCATTGCTATTGGGGGGGGAGGCCATTCCGATTATGTTGGAGGCCTTGCCATTACAGTCAAGCCTTCAGATCTCAAACATGCCGTCCAATTACTTTAGCAGACAGGCAAACCTGGTGGGTTGCCCTCAGTTGCGGCCATTGGTCCACTGACAGTAGAATTGCGTATATATTCTGCCCTGGTTATTCCGCACTCATGGAGTCACATGTTTTCTTTTAGAAGACTGTGTTGAACGCTCGTAACACTTTCGGCTCTTTAGCTTCACTTGGGCTGGGGCTTTGATGACATGCAATAAGTGTCATCAGGTCCCGGCTCGCGACGGCGACACCTGGTGCCTCGGGTGTTCGTCGTGGGAGTCGCTCGGGCTGAAGCTGACCTCTCACTGGTCGTGCTCCGGCTCGAGGCGACTTGCTGAGGACATCGTTTTGTCCGCCACTCGCCAGGTTCGTTTCCTTCGATCCTTGACTGCTGCCATCCGGACCAACGCTCAGGCTGAAGCTCAGCGGCTTGAACGGCCTTTGGCTGCTGGAAAGCGGGCCAGGGAAGAGACTCAGGAGCGAGAGGAGCGGCCGGTCTTGCAGAGGAAGAAGGATTCTAGGCCGGGTCCGCCCTTAGGCCTGGCAGCGAAGAGCAAGAGCGAGAAGAACGAGAAGAAGGAGCCTTCAGAGACTGAAGAAGTCTTTGAGGAAGAGACAGAGGAAGAAGAGGAGGCAGAGGTCTCTCACAGGCCGTTGGGAGGATCAGGTGACCGCAGACCCCCTGAGCCGAAGGGACCCCCGCCATCCAGGCCACCACCGGTTGCAGCTCCAAGCAAGGAGACTCGGAGGAAGCCAGAAGGTGAGAGGCGACGCCATCGTAGTGATCACGGTGGACAGCATCAGAAGAACCGACATCGAGGTGGACGCAAGCATCAAAGGATCGGGCGGTTGGAGGAACGACCTGACACTCCAATCCATCGCAAGTTGAGTTCACAGTTTTTGAGTACTTTGTCTTCGGAGGACGCTCGGTTCTCCCTGGACTTGGTTCGATGACGCACAGAGTGAGCTGTTCACCTTGACCGATTGGGTACAATGGGTGACACTGGCCCCTGTGAGAGGAGATGTGCTGGTAGTAGACCTGGGCACGTCCTCATATCAGAGCAATCCATCTACACTTGGCTATTTCCTTGTCCTCGAAGTTCAGCTCATCCCTGGTACAGGAACATTTGCAGTTCGCTGCAAAAGCCTGGGGGCCACAGACCAAAACCTGAACAAGGACCTGTCTTTGAGGTTCAACAGAAGGCAGGGGTGGCTGCATTTTTGCAGCTCCAATCCATGCATCGAAGAGGAGGCCGGCAACATACATGTCTCACAGGTCGTTTGGCACTCCTTGGCAGGCGCAGAAGATCAGTTGAGCCCTGCCGCTATCAGGCCGGCTCGGAAGTGTTTAGAGTCAGAGGAGGTCGATTGGACAGAGGAGGCAGAGGTGCAGGTACAAGAGGCTGGCCTTGGGCCGGGCCTTTCAGAGGCTACAGCAGCCCCGAGGTTGCCGGCGTTGAGACGGCCTTCAAAGAGACAAGGAGGAGACGAATCAGGGCTCCCTGGGGAGGCTGGTCCAACCGAGCCTACAGGGCCTGCAAGAAAGGCTCGCAAGGCACGGGACCAGTCAAAAGAGAGGCTCTTGCGGATCCTCAGCCTACAAAACGAGCCAAAAGCCGAGACAAGGCCCCCAGTCAGGCCGGAGATCCAAAGGGCAAGGGAGTTGGGACGTCCTCAACTCCTCAACCTGCCCTTCCAGCCGAAAAGATCCAGAAGCTCAGAGAAGATCTACAGAGGTCGAAGGCCAAGATTGGAGGAGACAGGCCTGGTTGCTGGGACTCTCCTGGATCCGGAGGCGATGAGGAGTCAGAAGGCGACCAGCCACAAGGCTATAAGCGCTGGTACCTCGAGCGGGCTTCATCAGCAGCTGATCAGGCGAGCGGCCGATATCCTTCCTCGAGGTTCCAGTGCAGTCGACAGCAAGACGAAGGCCGTGGACACCAAGAAGCAGCCGGACAGGAGTCAAGGGAGGAGGCCCTCCCGGGAAAAGGAGAAGGACACCGACAAGGGCAAGAAGGAGAAAAAGAAAAAGAAGAAGAAGCGCCAACATGGGAAGAAGAAAAAGAAGAAGAAAGACAAGAAGCGGAAGAAGAGGAGAAGGGTGACCCTTTCCGATGGGAGGATTGTAAGTTGCTCCAGCAGCTCCAGTGCAAGTTCTCGAACGCCGTCAGTTTCGGAGGACGAGAAAGCTTTGGAGGCTCCATTGAAGCGGAAGTCACTCAAGGAGCCAGGATCAGTGCTGAGCATGCTGCTGGATCATGTGTCCGCGCAGCTTCAACAGAATGCAGAAGTGGACACGCCGGCGACTCGCCATGGCGATCTGACATCAGGAGTCAAAGTCATGACCTACCTCTCCCTGATCATCAAGCCGCAGTTCAGTCATCGTTCGAAGGAGCTCCGCGAGCTGCGCATGCTGGCGTCGACAATGGACCTTCTTCGACAAGGCCAACTGGCAAAGCTAGGGGATGTCCTAGCGGGGAGATTCGTTGCGATTCACCAGAGCTTGCTGGACGCTTCATGGGTGTCGGCGCGGCACCTCGAGGTTCTTCCCATGCCAGAGGGAGCGGCCCTAGGAGACGGTGTACTATTGGTGGCAAGGAAGCATGGGAGGCAGGTCACGAAAGCCCAAGACATCAATGCCTACTGGCCAGTGGGCAAAGGCCGAGGAAAAGGAAGCTGGTGGAAAGGTCAGGACAACGAAGGAGATTGGTCCTGGCGAGAATCCAAAGGCAGAGGAAAGAAAGGCAAGAAGGGAAAAAGCAAGAGCAAAAAGGAAAAGGATGGGCCAGACGCAGATGGAGGAGCAAAAGCAGACAAGTGAGGGCTGATGGCTATGAGATACAGGAGGCAGAGCTGGTCCACACCGTGCTCGAGTCTCAACAACAGAGTACAGTTGACAGCAGAGGTTTAGAGATCTTCCTACAGGCCCTGGCAAAAATCAGCACCTTGGCACAGGCTGGCTGTTTTGGGGCCTGGCTTATCGCCAATGCGGGAGACTCTGAGCCGAATGGTCTTTCACTTGTGGTGAGAAAAGTGGTTTTTGAACACTGCTGGCACCCACAAGTCACTCCCAAGAAAGGAGTGATTTTTCCTTTGCGCTATTTTTCGGGGTGACCTGGTTTTTGGGGCACTGATTCTTGCAGCCTTTGAAGGCCTCTTGAGGACAGGTGAAATGCTCACACTTTGTGGTTCCGATCTCCTCATCCGTAATGGACAAGGCCTCATTAGGCTAGCAAACACCAAGACTTCTGGTCGGAAGGGGGTTACAGAAGTTGTGACTTTGCACCACCCGTGGGTGCTTATGGTCCTTCAGACCCTTTTGGAGTATTTGCAAGAGAAGAATTTGAAGTTTGCTAAGATTTGGCAAGGTTCGCCCTCTGTGTTTCGTCAGCGCTTCAAAGAATATTGTAAGTTCTTCAAACTTCAAAGGTGTGGCTTCAGGCCTTACAGCCTTAGACGCGGGGGTGCGACCCATCTCTTTCAGCAAAGTCTCTCCTACGATTTAGTTCTCGACAAGGGACGCTGGAGTTCTGTCCGTGCGGCAAAGCTCTACATCATGGATGGATTGTCAAAGCTCCCACATCTGAGTCTTCACCAGGAGAGTTTAGATCTGATCTCTGCATGGGCACCCTTTTAACCCTCCTTTTCACCCTCTTACGGGGTGAGTTCAGGGGGCCGTGGAAAGAAACCACTTGAATGTGTGTTTGGTGTTGGTTCCAGTGTTTGATTCCCTGCCGGGGGAAATTCATTCACTGACGTTGTCGCTTCTGCCGGGAAGCAAGA